ATGTTTCATTTTCGATATTTATTTGTAGTTTATTATCTTGTTTCATTGTATTTTCAATTTGTTTTTGTGATGTATTAATATTTAATGGTGATAAAGATGAACATGATGAAGATGTTGAATGTGTTGTTGGTGATAGTTGCATACAATTATTATTATCTTTATTGCACTTTTGGCCTGGAGATATTGGTGAATTATGACTAGGATTTTGATTTGAATATGGTGATGTTACCGGTGTATTTATAATTAATGAAGTCGAATTTGGTACTATGAACAAAAAAAAAAGAAAAAATAATTTTTTTTTTGTTTTTTTTTGTCTTACCAGGTAAATGAGCAAAATTTGATGATGATGTATAATGAATAGATTCATTTAATGATGAAGATATTTGTGGTTGAAGACAATGATCTGGTTTAAATCTTTCAACATGTGGAAGTAAACGATATAATAGACTTGATGGTATTGGATTTGTTGGAATTGATGATGGTAATGATGAATTCATTGAATATTGTGAAATATGTGATGGAGATTGATAAGGTGATAATTGAAGATATGTTTGAGATAAAGGTATTCCATTCGTCTAAAATGATAATTTTTTTTTTGTAAAATCTACTTTTAGATATGTCGCTATAGAAGGAATCATCAGTATGAACCTTTAGAATTGAATTATGATTGTTATAATGAATTTCCGACCTACGACTTTGTTCAAAAGATAGGTTGCGGATGATTCATAGAATATCCTCAAAAATTTCAGTCAAATAAAAAAAAAAACTTCTATTAAAATAGATATTTGTATCATGCTTGTAGCAAATGATTAGTGTTTTTTTTTCAAAATTTATTATCTCGATATGATTCACTGTTGATACAGTAATATAAGTCATCTAGACACAATACTTGATTTTTATCATTCTGCTCGATATGATTTACTTTTCTATTCATTATTCCTTAGGTCCTATAGATTTTAATTATTTTCTTTTTTACTTCATATAAACTACTACAGATATTATTTTATTTATTGAATGTTGTAGTACCTGTACATGTGGAGCATAATTCTCAGTTGATGATGATGATTCTTTAAATTTTTCATCATATGATTGTAATGGTGATGATGTATTTAGAAATATTTGTGAATTTGTCACCGGATTACGTTGTATCATTACATTTGGAATATTTATTCGAGATGAATGATTAACATGTGTAGGTAATGGAGTTGATTTTCGATTTTGTTTTGTTGGTAATTGTTGTACAATCAACGGATTTTTATTTGTAAATTGAGAAAATGTTGTTGGTAAAATTGGAATACTAGACGATGATGATGATGATGATGGGCGTGCAGGAGATAATAATGTTTGATCATATAAATGTTTTGGAATAACATTTGGACATGATGATTGTTGTTGATATAAATTATTTGTTGATGAAAACATTAATGGATCTTGTTCTTCTTTTTTTATTTTTATAGATACTGATGGAGATTCAGTACGTTTTCGTTTTATTGTTGTTGTTGTTCGTTTCTTTTTTTCTGTATTATCAGTGATAGATAATGTTGGCTTCTAAAATAAATAAATAATGATCAAACAGTTATTAGTGCAATCTCTGCAAGATTAAAATATAAAAACATGATATAGCTACTATTGCTAATCATAGCGAGATCTATTTTTCGGACATATTTTTTTCTACTATATTCTTTGATTCAAACTTCTAGAAATACAATAAGGAAATACTTCACATATTACAACGAAATGTAAGTAACATTTTTGTACTGTCATTATTCCAATTCGGAAGTAAATATTGACACCTTTATTAATATATTAGTTTGTAGAGAACATGAGCTATTCTATAAAAATATATTATCGAAGTTTTTCTATGAGTCACTTGAATTTTCATTTTTCTTAAAACGAGTTTTTGATCAAAATTTGTTTTGTATACAGAGAAACTCTACAAAACAACTAACTCCAATATTTTTTAGCACCTTCGGAAAGCAGGTTAGCACCATCCAATCAGTCCATCATTCAACCTAATGTTTGAGCTTTTCAAAAGCTCCGTTACTACTCTCGAAGAAAGACTACGATACAATATCTAAGATCACATTTGAAAAGTACGTTCTTCATTCATAGTTCGAGAAAAATATTTCTTAACATACTTCATTAAATCCACCATGTAAACGCATATGACCATTAAGTGCAGCACCATTTTTAAATGATTTCTTACAAATTTGACATTCAACACATTTTTCTTCATCAAATCTATTTTCAAAAAATAAAAAATAAATCAAACATTTTTTTTTTTTTCTTTCGAATTTTAAACTTACGTATAAGTTGTCATAGTTTTAGTTCCAGTTGATGTTCGAATATTAAACGATTGTTCATTATCAATTATTGATCGTGGTGAATTACTATCAACAGAATCAATTGAAAATTCACTATGTATTGATAAATCTTTTGCTTTAACAAATGCTGTTTCAGGTAAAAATTGTTTATATTCATCATGTTCACCTTCATGTATCGCAGCTAAAATATCTTGATGTGTATTTTCAATATGTCGTTTTAATGAACGTGCATCACAATATGTACGATTACAATTTGGTACACGACATTTATGTGGTTTTTCTTCTTCATGTGTTAACATATGACCATTACTATGAGCAAAAAAAAAAGATTTTTTTTTTTGTTTTCTTATGTATTTAATAGTATTTTGCTTACAGATGGTCAAGTCGTTTGAAACCTTTATTACATTTTGGACATATATGTTTACGATCTTGACTGTGAGTTAGTTTATGTTTTGCTAAAGCACTTTTATTAGTGAATGTCTAAAGCAAAAAAAAAAAGAAATAATGAAATTGTTTGGATTGCAATTCTAATAGCAGTAAAAAAGACCTATTTGTTTAAGATTTTTAATTAATTTTATTGTGAAATGAAATTATGCATGACAACAGTTACTATATAAATTAAAATCGCACAATATGAGATAGAATATCATGAGTAAGAATGCAATGATGACAATTATTCAACGATCAAAACAAGTAATCGATATTCTCATAGGGTTTCTATACCTCTTATTTCAGTGGAAAGAAAAATCTGTACTATATGTGGCGTACTGGCGAAGCAATAGAATACAATTGTTTCTCCTGATATTAGCTGCTATGGTTGATTGGTTCAGTTGTTTGGCACGTACACACAAAGTACTGTGTTCAAGCCTCGATACCATCAGACATGAAGTGTCCTTGGACAAGTCACTAACAGCTTTTTGTATTGAATCACTTCTACGATAGCATACTGACTACATTGGTAGGACTTTCGAAGATAGTACTCTATACCCTCAAGGTAGTTGAAAGGCGGGGTATTCGTTTTTTTTTTGTTGTTGATATTTTCCTATTTTGATAGTTGATGTGGAAAGAATGATACAGAATGCTAGGAAATTATTTTATCTTATCTGTATGAGTGTACATTTGTCACATATATCTGACATCTTCTTTTATTATAGAAGTTGAAGGACGATTTATTAATATCATATAACACAAAGGCCATAGGGTAAATGACAATAAAAATAGAAAGTTCATTAGATATGAAATCTGTCCTGGAGGAAAATTATCCTTATTATTTTTTTTGGATTTTATTGTAAAAGCTCAATAATTCAATAAAGAACTCAATTATAACCTGAAATTTTTAAACTAAACCGATGCGATCTTACTCTTCAATATTAAGTGATACATCTTACTAATTTCTTTAATTTTCAGCACTTATTTTAGTTTCAATTACGATTAATTCTATGTCACAAACAGAGCTTTACAATCACTAAAATAATATGTATAAATTATTGATATCATGTTAACAATTTTTTCCCTAATGAGTACACTGCTAAACACTTTCTAACTAAATCAAATTTCAAGTCAAAAATAATTCGTTCCTAGAAGATAATTTTTGTTACATTGTGTGCAAAATAAAATTATCTATGCCTAGTGACTTTATCTGAACTCTATCTATTGCAAAAACGAACGAGATTAAAAACAATATTTTCATCAAAATCAACAGTTTACTTCCTTTTTTTTCTTACATAATTTTTCCAGTAAACTTATACGTCCTCCTGATTCATTCTACTGCCTAATGACTAATTATTTACGTGTCGTCATCTTCAATAAATAGTCAAACACAAAAATAACCAATGTGATTCATACAGGTGACATGAGCGTATTTGCATTTGAGAGGCGATATAATATTAACTAGAATCTAACATTGTGAAAGACTAGAAAAAAAAACAATCTTCATGCAGAAAGAGGATATAAAAACAAATCGAGCATCTGAATAGTGTTTTATCCAGAGGGGGAAGGCGGCGCTGTCTCCCCAAGACTTACGATCATCGCGTGACGAACTATATGACTTGTCCTCCCGAAATTTCAAATCTTCCCTCTGAAGAAAAAAACCTGGATAAAACACTGCAGCTGAACTCAAGGTCGTATGACGTGCGTAATCTTTTCTGCACCTATTCACTTCCTGACAAATGAATTTGCATAATTAAAAAAGAAAACATATTATGAAAATAAATAAATTTTTCAGTACATTTCTCTGTAATCAATATTGTATTCATTAGTTGATTATTTCCTGGTTCTTTTAAGACTAATATCTCATGTGAAACAGATCATAGAAATTTCCGATTTACCTACACTTGTGTATAAGTCGGAAATATCCTGTTTCCTTCAAATAATCTTTTGTATTGATGGAAACAAAAACAAAAATTTTCTATCGAACATTTTCAAAAACAAAAAGAAACCAGAAACTGTCTATCCTTTGATTAGATATAATTAATATTTACTTTATTGCAATCTGGATGTGTACAAAAATGTCGATTCTGTTGTTGTTGTAATGATATTGAATTAATATTTGTTTGATTATTATCATGATCTAATGATGATAATTTAATATCATTTGAAAGTGGTGATGATGAAGATAATATTTGCTGTTCTACAAAAAAAAAAACAAATTAAATCTGAAATTTATTTTAATTACCTGAAGTTTTTAACATCTGACCAAAAATTCTTGATGATGTATGTTGAGAACTACTATTTGTTGAACTATGATTACTATTATCATCTTGTATTAAACTATTTGAAGATATTCTATTTGTTCGAATATCTGTATTTATAATATGTGGTTTAGTTATTAAATCATGATTATTTTCTTCATTATCATCAATTAAATTTTCATTATGTTGATTTTGTAATTCTTTTTGTTCAAGAATATTTGTATCAAAATTAAAACGTGATGTTCCTTTAGTATTATTATTATTATTATTAGTTGTTGTTGTTGTTGTTGTTAATTCAAAACCAGCACTTGGTATAGGACTAAAAGTTTTTTGATAATTATTACCAACTGTTAATTGATTATCAGGATGATCATCAGATGCAAGTGGATTAGGTGGAGTTGTTAATATATGTGATTTACTACGAAGATATAAATGTGATGATGGTGATATTGTACCTGATGGAATTGTTGATGAAGTTTTTGATTGATTCATAGATTTATTTTGTTCATCATCAAGTAAATCATGAGAATTTGAATCAACATCAGCTACAAACAAAAAAAAATAATAATAATAATTTTTTATAGATTAATAATATTTACGATGAACAAAACATTTTTTTTTCTAAAATATTCAAAGCAAATGAACTTTGTTGAATGCAAAAAATTTATTCCAAAAATAACTCTCTTTCGAAATTCGGTCAACTTTAATAACAACAAAATTCCCAGTGAATTTCATGAGTCATTGACCTCCGACCTTCATTTCTAGCGACCTCAAAATATTATTGCTGAAATATTATGTACAAATTTTACTACGATCTATTAAATAGAGTAAAATCTCTCTATATAAGTACGTCAACAGTGAAAAAAGAAAAAAAAAAATCAACATTAGACCATAACAACAATGTTTGATGTAAACAATATCGTTGTTTTTTTTTTTGCTAACACTTGATAACATCAACACGTGTAAATTTATTTCTGAGTAATAAAATTGAATTAATAAATCGTGAGAAAAAAAAAGAAAAACATTACCTTGGACAGCCGATAAGCAATTAGAAAAAAAAAAACGAATGCATTTAAAGCCTCGTAATAATGAGTCATTTTTTCCGATTAGAAATGTTTTCTGTATGATTCAACTCAAAATATATATTAAATTCATTGTTTAAGTTGTTTTTCTTTTTTTCATTATTATTTTAGAGTATATAACCATAAATATTACAAAATTTCATAAATTTTTTATCATTAATAATTGACATTTCTCTTTGCTGAAATTATCTATATGACTCAATGATAGACTTTTGGAATTATTGATTTATTTTGATGAAAATAAAAATTCTCGTATCGATTTTAATGTTAAATTCCATTCGATGAATTAATAAAAGTCAAAAAAAAAAAGAAAAGAAAGAAACGAAGATGCAGATATTATTCATGATTTTCAATAATGAACTAATTTGTTTTTTTTTTTCATATTCAAAAAAAGAAAACCTACCAACAAGAGCATCAATTGAAGCTGATGGATCTTCATCATCATCTATTTGTATTGATCCAGGATTTTCATTCATACGTTTAACCATTAATGAACTAAGTACAGGATTTGACCATTGTTGCTGTTGTGAGTCTTGAATTTGTACGGAACGTAAATGATTATTATGTGTTGGTGTTGATGGTTGACTTGTATTTGTTGATTGATGACCATTACTTGTCATATTAACCTAGGTTTTAGTTTTTACAAAAATAAAATAAAAACTTTTTTTTTTTTAAACAGTATTTTACTTGTAATGTTGATGGTGGAAAATAAAAATATTGATGATAATGATTTGGTGAAGTTTGTAATGGAAATGTATGAGGTGTATGTTGATGATCAGAAAATGGATCAGCTATTTGTTGTTGTTGTGGTTGAAATAAATGTATATTATGTTGTTGTTGTTGTGAATGATGATGTGGAGATAATTGTAAATGTTGTTGAGGTTGAAATTGAATTGTAGCTGTATAAGGTTGAGATGTTTGTGGAATATGTTGTTGTTGTTGTTGTTGATGATGATGATTATTATTGGTTTGTTTTATATAAAATATTGGTGCTGAATATATTCCAGGATCATTTGATGATGATTGTATATTATTATGATCTAATATAGATAAATCAATATTACTTGGTCGACTTGCACGACGAAGTGTTGATATAGGTGGATAATGATATTGTCCAATATTTGTTGTTGTTGTTGTTGATGATGATGATTTAGTTGTGGAAGATGATGATAATTTTGCTGAATGCATATTTATAGAAATATAATTTTGGACTAGACAATCACTGTTTGATGATGCATAGAATACAAGGTATGACAATACAACAAAAAATAAAAATAAAAAAATAAACACGCAATCTAAAACAAAACAAAAAAAAAAAATTTGGTTTTCTTTTCTTTTTATTTATTTCCCTTTTTTCTCTTCCAAATGACGTTTTTGTACCTGAGAGAGGAATGAAAAATGAAAAAAAAAAAAAAAAAAACTAAAATAAAAGAAAGAAATACCTGAATGCTAAACCGAAAACAAAAATAACCAATGTATATGAAGAGGACATAAAATATAACAAATAAAAAGAGAACGGCACTACTATAGGTGTAGAATAGGGGAAAAAAAAAGATCACAACTTATTATTATGTGAACTTAACATATGTTCTGAATTATACTTTGAGCAAGAATGATGATCTCGAAATTGAAATAGAAGAAAAAATAATATTCACAAGTAAATATATATGTACATATTTATCGCACTTAGAAAAAAAAACAAATTAATTAATGCGTAACGTATAGATAAATTTCTATATAGATCGATTAAAAACTTAACTCAAGTATTCGTATTAGAAAAAAAATATATATATTATAAATGAGAAATAAAATTCTTTCTTTTACCAACCGAACAATATTTTTATTACAATTTACTTATGAAATTTCAAATAAAATCACCAGATTTCTGTTAGTTTTCAACATTAAACTAATACACTTAACTGTACATTTATAGGTGTCGCTTAATTTAAGTTTTATTCTACTAAGCTAACCCTGGAAAATCTTCATTCAACATAAAAGAAGTCAATATTTTAATTATTAAAAAGTTCAAAACAAAACAAAGAAAAGAAAATTCTAGATGGCGTTAAATGATGATTAAAGAACCAAAAGCAAAAAATAGGCACGTACATTATCCTATGACCTCGATGAAAGACAAAATATAAAGCATTCAACCATCTGGTGTAAAAAGTTAATTTTTATTTCCTATTCAAACATATATAATTATACAATGAAATTCTTCTGTATTACTTTTGATATCTATTACCTAGAATTAGAATATTCTCTATGAATAAAATAGACATCTATTATGGAAGTAAAAAAAATTGATTATAGTCTCTAATCAAGTTATAAGATCGAGGTTGTTTTGCTTCTCAAAAACAGTCATAGAATAATTTATTTCATACGTTGCATTGAAAGATGTGAAACCTTTCTTCTTCTTCTTCTTCATTTGTCATATTGTATTGGTTTTTTTTCTCGTTATGAATAGACAAAATATACAAAAGTAACATACAGGAGTTCCTTCTTTATATTTTTTTTGTTTTGTCGAATCTTCATTCGTCTAATAAACATATTAAAAGAAAAAAAAAAAAGTAACTATAAGGAAAATAAAAGCTTACTCTTTGCTACTAATATTCCAGCACTCTTTTGTTACGTGGTGTTTGTCTCATCATTGCCTGGTCGATTCATAGTCTGGATGTCGTTTTTTTTTTCTCTATTCTACTCTTAACTCAATGCTAAACACTCAAGAAGGAATGACAAGAAAAATAGCAAACAAAATTCTCAACTCTTGTTAAAATAAAGAAAGGGAAAAGGAGAACAAGATGATATTAATTTCTCAAATAATGCGTCTAAATGTTTCCACGTTGATTCTTTATTTATGTATAACATATTTATTTAGATAAGTAAATGATAGGAAATATGTTTTTTTTTCTTTTTTTTTGTTGCAATTAAGCATCAATGAATATGACTACTCATTTATACATAAAAAAACAAAAAGAAATGATATATTAACAAAGTACTCATAGCAAAGGTGAAAACTAGTCATGAAACTTTACGATAAAATAAAATAAATAATGACTCATAAAATATCATGAACGGATCTTTATTCTTTCATTTTATCAGAGATTTTTTTTGTTAAAAGTCAACGGATATTCTCAGATGTTTTTTTTTTGCACTTTTTAATATATAATGCTCTATATTCTATTCAAATTTATTGAAGAGTAATGAAAATTTTTACGGTACAATTTCATAATATTTGGTATATTAATATAACACGGTAATTAATATTAATATAGATCTTTGATTTCATTTTGTGTCTAAACTGATTAAATTTACTATAGAAAAATTATAATCATGTTGTTTGGTTTTGAAATACAAATAGAAAAATAAATACAGATTTTAAAATGTAATATGTTGTTTAATTAAAATGTGTAATTTATGAAAGATAAATCTAGGTCTTACATGATTAATAATAAATGTTTTTCAACATGTATTCAATATTTGATTATTTGTCTCATGAAAAAAAACAAAAAAAAAAAAATTAATTATTTATAAATTTTATTTGAATATGATAATAAGCAGTTGTGTCATATTTTTATTTTATTTTGACAAAATAGTCTGTGTTAAGTTTCTGAAATTTTACATCAAACTAGAAGAAAAACAGACATATTCTCACGAATTAAATATACATAAGTATGTAGTTTTCATCAAACTATTTATTATTATTAACCAATAATATTCTTTAAAAATGATTCAATCGATAATATATTCATACATTGATTTACATTTTTTTATTCGTTATTATTTTAATGAATCATTCGAAAAAAAAGAACATTTCTTTTTTTTTTTTGTGAATAAATATAATGTCATTTTTAATTTAATTTTTTTTTCTTTAATATTATAAGCTAATCATTCCATTATTTATACTAAATTGTTGAATCGTCTTCTGAAAAATGTTTTGATATACATAGAACTAGCATGATATGTAAAAATTATAAATCTATAAATTAAGATTGACATGTAGTAAAAAGACAATTGATGATAAATCATCTCATAGAATTTTAAGGTTTTCCTATATTTATAATAATCTTTCATTATTAATCAAATAGTTAAATCATTACTCTAACAAGCACTTTTTTCTATATGATTGCTTTGAAATCTAAAGGAATGCTTTTTTTTCTATTTTGCATATGAACATTTCTTTTACAATGTATTTTTATTACTACAATCTCTATAATGCGAATACATGTTGCTTATCGTTCTAATGTCAATTACTTGTCTTAGATGTACGATGAGAGTAAATATGTTTTATGTAAAAAATGCACTAGTTTATATATGAAGAAAATGATGCGAGCTTAATTTGTCAAGACAAAAACAAAAAAAAGAATTTGTATTTATTAATAAATTAGAATAAAAATGTTTTCATGATGATATTGATTCATAAATAACATTAGTGAAATTTGTTGAAAATAAAATCAAAGTTTGTTTTGGAATTAAAAAATAAAAGAAATTTTGTAATAGAAATACAGACTACCTTGAATTGAAGGCTATACTGATGACAATCATTATTATTTAATCAACAATTATGGTATCGATTTATGAGTATATTTATGTTTGTATTCCATCTATAAAGTTGGATGCTATTATGTACAGAAGCCTGGATCATTGGACAAAAAAATTATGCTTTTCTCATGGACATCTAAATCCCTTGAGTCATAATCGATATTATACACAAAAAAAAGAAAATTCTAATCGTACACAACTCTTTAGGATATGTTGAAGCTATGATGCAGACATTTTTGCTCGTTACTATATCGTTTTTTGGAGATATTCATAGACCAAATATTAAAAAAAATTGCTTATTTAGTTAGCCGAAAGTATCTGTAGGCTTTTATTATATATATTAATTTTTCTTTTTTGTTTGATTATGTCAAGCTGCAAGACATGTCAGATCTTTTTTTTTAAATTCTTTCCTTTTTAAGCCGGAAAAAAAAGAGTGATAAGTTCAGTGTTTCAAACACTTTTGACGAATGAAGAAAAACATTCAATTTTTTGAAGTATTTTTGAGATCATGTACTTGTCACCTTTTTTTTTCGGCTTAGTAAGAAAGAATTTCTTTTTAAAAGAAGAGCTTAGACATCTTTTAGTTTGACATAATCAAGTAAAAAAAAATTAATATAGACAATGAAAGCCTACAGAGAATTTCGACTGGGAAATAAGCTATTCTTTTATCTTTGTTTTATGAATATCTCTGTAAAACATTATAGCAAAAAGCAAAAAATGTCTACACTATGGCTTTAATATACACTAGAGCTTTTACACACAACAAAATAGTAAATTTTATGTTTGTGAAAAAAAAAAACATTCTTGTAAATTGATCATTGCTATATATATATCATATAAATTAGCAAAGACACTTGTTTAAAGGTTACATTTAATCGAAATGACAAATCTAACGAACAAGCAAATGATTACAATAGTAAATATGAAACCCATAAACATAAGAGTCATATATTCGATTACGTATGCATTTTGATTGGCTTCTGATCTTCAAACGATTGACACTAACAGACGATCGAAATGAAATTTGACAATATATTGTTTGTTTTTTCGGCCTCCTCAAGAAGCCCACTAAATAAACGTGATTCACTGATGTTTTTTTTTCTTTTTACATAAAATCAAAGAACAGATTGCCCATGACAAAGTGATATAAGATCCAAGGGTTTTAGAACAAGCCTTCAGAAATGGCTAAGCTCATTCTACGTGTATTTTTTTTCAAATAAATCAAGAAAACTGCCTAATTTAATATGGCGCCCTTACCAAAATACTTATGGTTAATAAATGACTTACGAAAAAAGTTTCCTAACTTATTAATCGCTTTTGAATGGCGACAATGTATTTTAAGCAGACCTTAATATTAATTGAATACCTTGATCTCTCACAGAAACATTAGAAAAACTGATTTCTGAATTTTTAGCTTGAAATTTTTGCACAGAAACAGCCCTTCATAAAAAAAAAATAGTTTGTGATCAAATTTTCGTTGCTCCTATCCTAAACTATGACTATAATATAGGTGAGTCTTTTACATAGTATTGCTGAGAGGTGGCATGATATTCAATTAAAAAATATCGTAGAGATGCAATATCTTCCTAACAATCAGCTAATATTCATAATTCGTTGGAACTAAATGATATGTATAGTCTCGACTCAAA